GTTGCTCTTCTATTTTTCCTCCTCGTTCTCCCTTGCTTAACATCTCTACTAGATTTTTTTCTCCAGTCAGTCGTTAGTCATATGTTCGGCATCGTTCGTCGAGTGTAGTAGCCACAACTACAAATACATTGTTGTCATCCTCATCTATACATTCACATAGCAATCAAGCTAGAGAAACAAAACCAACTGTGAAAATTGGTTTGACACAATGAGTCGTGAGTCTCTCTACGTGTTATGTTCTTTTTTCTCTCAAACAGTTGGTGCCATTATTCCTTGAAAAACGATGTTTCACAACTTATTTTCTTCTTTCTATTGATTCGTTATTGAAACGAGAAATTATTTTCAATAAATAAATATTAGTTTAATAAACTTGTTTGTTTGTGTTTCTTTAGGTTTATTGACATTTGATTAAATAAATAAAAACAAAAGAACAAAACAATGTCTTTAGCAATGGATCCATTGTTTGGTTTAATTCAAGTTTCTTCATCAATTAAAATAAAACGATCTGATGGTCGAATACATTTAGCTAAAGTAGTACAACTTTCACCTGAATCGAAATCTATTGGTGTTGAATGGAATGAACATGGTGAAGTTAAAGGAAAAGAAATTTTACTTGATCTTGTATTTGAATTGAATAATGAGCTACGACCAAATACATCATTAAAACAATCAACAACAAATGTCAATCAACAAGTTCGACCAACAGCTGCTATTCCTATTTCATCGAATGGTTTATCATCAAGTCGATTAACTTTAGATATTGATTCATTAGAACGTGAATACAATTCTCGACCACCACCAGCACTTCCACCACAATTATTACAAAGAATTCAACAACACCCGGTGTCTATTCAAACAACTTCAACACCACTTCCACCTCCGCCGTTAAATGGGTATAACAAATAGTTTATTTTTCTTTTTATTCAGTTTGCATTTGTCTATTCAATGTTTAGTACAATCGCAGGCACAACACATTCAAAAGCAAGTTGTGTACCTTCCGGAACAAATAATACTGCTGCTGCCCGTTCAATTCGTCGTCCTATGGCTCAAACAAATTCTTCATCAACAAAAACAGTCACACCTTCTTCTCCAGTACCACCTCCGACACCTACCGTTGAACAACCATTACAATCACAACTACAAATTCCAGCACCAGTCAATAATAAAAATGATCGTCGTCTTTCTCGTCTTCATGTTGTACAACAATCATCAACAACAACTACACAAAGTACAGTTACGTCAATTGCTTCTGAACCACCACCATCGGTTGGTTTACATGGTCCATTCGGACAAATGATTCTTGATTATCGTTCAACACTTACTTATACTCCAATAACAAATTCAAATATGAATCACCATAAATTCGATCAAAAAGATTTACGTATATGTGTAGCTGTTCGAAAACGTCCATTAAATAAACGTGAAATAGCTAAAAAAGATAATGATGTTATTACAATACCTAATAAAGATCATTGTCTTGTTCATGTGCCTAAATCAAAAGTTGATTTAACCAAATTTCTTGATAATCAAACATTTAAGTAAGAAAATTTTATAAAAACAAACTTTTGAAATTACTCTTTTAATATTTATTTAGATTTGATTATACATTCGATGAAAGAGCTTCAAATGATCTTGTCTATCGCTATACAGCTGCACCACTGATTGAAACAATTTTTAATGGTGGTAATGCGACTGTTTTTGCATATGGTCAAACTGGTTCTGGTTAGTAAACATTTTGCATTTTTGTTTGTACTCTTATTATTTGTTAATCTATTGATTTAGGCAAAACATTTACTATGGGTGGTGATGTATCGTCAGCAAAGATAGATTATTCACATGGAATTTATGCTCAAACAGCACGCGATATATTTCATCGTTTATCATTACCACAATATCGTTCATCAGTTGAAATATTTGTTACATTTTATGAAATATATTGTGGCAAAGTATTTGATTTATTGAATAACAAAAAACGTTTACGTGTATTAGAAGATCAAAAAGGTCTTGTTCAAGTATGTGATCGAAAAGAACAACAAGTTAAATCTGTTCAAGATGTATTGAATATCATTCAACGTAAGAAATTTTTTTCAATTTTATTTAATATTTTTTTTTGTTTTTTGATTCAAAAAAAGAAAAATTTCCATAATAAGATTATCAACTGAATCTTATCATACGTTAACCTTTTTTTTTTTTTTTAATTCTCAATTATAAATATTTGCTTTCTTTAATGAGAAATATACTTTACAGTATAAGAACAAACTCTCTTGTGATAACGCAGATAAAGTATGAAACGAAAATTTTTCTTAATAGTATAAATAAATCAATACCAATTAATAAATATAACAATAATATTGTTTAACATTTCTATTTATAAAAGTAATAAATAGAATTATGCATGAGAAATGATCGAAAATCACGCAAACCTAAACCAATCTAAGAGTTGATCGTCGATTCGCGATAAATATAAGTTAGAAAATTGGATGAAAACTATTAAATGTAGTATTCTCTCAGTGCCAATAAAATTAACAAAAAACTAAAGGAACTAATTCTTTTCCTGTGGCACTCAGTTCTGTGATTTTGCTGAAGGAATTAGAACAGAATGAGAAAAAAAAACTATTTCCGAAAAATTCTTGTTGAATATCTTTTCAAGTCTTTCGATTATATGCATACGAATTTGTAGAGAGAAATATTTCAAAACAGTGACATTCAATTGTTTGCTCAAATCTATTTATTGAGTTTGATCAATACACAAGTGCCCTTATTGAAAAAAAAAAATTTTGTCTCATATTTGAAAATTTTCATCAAATAATAAGAATCATAAATTCAAATATCATAATTCTCTGTTTCTTCTTTATTTATTTTGATTGAATAATAGAAATTAAATAATTAGATAGTATTAAAATTAGAAAGACAAAATAGATTGATCAAGAAGATTGTACCAATAATTATGTAACATAAAAACTCATGTTTAAGTAAATTTTAATAATTAACTGATAGTCTTAAACACATTATTATTGAATCCCTCTCTGTATTGTAAACATTTAGAATAAACAATATATAGATTGTCAAGTCAGAAAAAAAAATATACTTTAATAACTTTGACACAATTTCTTAATTAGTTACTGATAAATTAAATATTTGTTTCAAAATTAAATTAAAAACATTCTTAATTTTGTCTTTTGTCTAACAAAATTGTATCGATATTTATTTTCATTGGAATGATTTTCGTATAATTTAGATGGTATGAGTATTCGAACATCGGGTACAACAGCTGCTAATTCAAATTCATCTCGATCTCATGCTGTTCTTCAAATTATTTTAAAAACTTCAACACCGATTTCTATTCATTCGAATATATCTTCATCATCATCATCATCATCATCTCGTAATAATAATCATAATAATCCTGCAGTACCTCGTCGTTTAGTAAAAGAAGTTGGTAAAATGTCTTTGATAGATTTAGCTGGTTCTGAACGTGGTAAAGATACAGCAAGTGGTGATCGTCTTCAACGTATGGAAGGTTCAGAAATCAATAAATCTTTATTAGCACTTAAAGAATGTATTCGTGCATTGGGTCGTGGTGACGGTACTCATGTACCATTTCGTGGTTCAACATTAACAAAAGTTTTACGTGATTCATTTATTGGTGATAAATCAAAAGTTTGTATGATTGCAATGGTTTCACCAACACATTCCGATGTAGAAAATACAATGAATACATTACGTTATGCTGATCGAGTAAAAGAATTAAGAGCTAGTGATAATGCTGGAACTCCATCAAATGAAGATGATGATATACAAATGGATGGAGTGTCGAAAGGTTTGATTGAATAATCATATAGATTTACTTTTTATTTATGATATTATTTTAGCTTTACCAATCGACGATGATAAAGAAAATAAACGTCGTCATCATCATCATCATCATCATTATTCTCATCATCGTGATGGTTCAGCTTCATCAAATGATAGTACAAGTTCATCGTCAAATGATGGACAAAATAATTATGATGATGATGATAAAGATGATGAACAAGATGAAGCATTAGCTTCATATGCAGCACAAGTTGAACATTTACAAGAATATGAAGAAGCTTTATTTGATACATGTCAAGAAATTTTAACTCATAAAGAACCAATACTTACACGACAATTACGTACAATTGTTAAACAAGCACAAGATACAGTTGATTACGATCAAGAAAAATTTGTTAATGATATGCGAGCTAATCTATTACAACGTCAACAAATATTAGATGAACTTCAAACACGTTTACAAGCATTTGCTGATTGTCTTCAACAAGAAGAACAAGTTGCTGCAGCACAAAGAATCAAACAACATCAAACCAATGGCAATATATATTAGAAAATAATCAACTTTCTATTTTTCTTTTTTTTTTCTCATTTAAATATGTTATTTCTCTTTTTTTTTTTCTTTTCATTTTCTGCTTTTTCATTGTGTGTGTGTCTTAAAATACGAATGATGATCAATATATATTTCAAAGAAATCAGTGAGTAAATAATAGAAAATCAATATAACCTAAATACAGTTGGCTTTTTTATAGTAAAAAATACTCAAAAAAGAAAATGAAATTATTGTAACCGATATACAAAATATGCAACATTTTTGTCGTTAGCTGAAAGTTGATTCTAACATTCTTAATATAAAATAAAACAGTTGAAATATATTTGTTGATAATATGAAGAAATTTAATTTTATTGATATGAAAAGATTGTTAATTGTGATCTATTGTTGCCCATTTTAATTCAAAGCTAATAAAAGGCTTTAATAAATAATGAAAAATATTCTATCAGAAAAACGAAAATCTATCCTAGACTTGACAATAGTCATAGCAGACATTCATTTGTCTGCTGACTTCATAAAATAATAATAATAATAACTGTTCGATAAGAATATTTATAAAAATAAAGAAAAAAAAAAAAGAAGTTTATGCTAAACTAAAAGTCATATTCAAAAAGACCATATATTTTCGTTTTTCTTAAAGTTCTTCAACAGCTGTTATCTTTTGTTGATAAAATTTTTCTTGTAATGGTATATTATATCGAAAATGTTCATTATATTCACTTATGGGTTGTTGATGAAGATAATCAGTAAATTCTGATTGTGGATTAAGTGATTTCCGTGAATGAACCATAGTTGATTTTAGATGACGTTGAACAGTAGCAGTTTTTGTTCTCGATAATGATACAGATGATGGAAGATCAAGTATATAATGATCATCACTAGTATTCTTTGATGGATTCATAAAACCAACAGAACGTGTCCATGAACTATCATATGACGGAGATGTACATTCGGCATTATAACGTAGTAACATTCTCTACAATAGTAAAATATAAATTAAGTATAAATAATATTAAAAAATTTTACTGACTTGTCTATTTAAATATTCTGATTTAACTTTGTTTAATTGACGATAATGAAAAATAGTTATGAAAATACCACACAACTTAATAAGAAAAAGAAAGAATATTCATTTTATTTATTTCTTGATTCGTTTTTTTAACTAACTGAAATAATGAGACGAATAATCATAAGTAAAAATAGAATTTTCACTTGTTTTGATGGTCTATAAACCTAAATGATATGAATAAATATTAAATTTGATACCTAAATTAATATGAAAATAAATCGACCTGTTGTTGATATTGTCGAAGAGAGAGTATAGTAACAATACCATCAATAAGTAACATGAAAATCATTAATATTGACCAAAGAAATAAAAGCCATGATTTATTCTTAATAAATAAAAAATAAATCAATTATTAATTTACTTTTTTCAAATAAAATTTACTAATTGAATAGCACAAAGAAGAAAGATAACAAAAATTGCAATACTAAAGTAGACACAAAGTGATATCCAATCAAAAATAATCGTCACTGGAGATGATACAATAGGCCATAGAATCGTCCCTAATAAACAAAATATATTGTTAGAAGTACATTATATAAACTTGATCAAATTATATATATATACCATTACTATCATTAGATAACTGCATCGACATTAATGTTGTTATATCAATCAAAGTGTACAATCCACTAGTTGCATAGACAATCTATATATATATGTATGTAGAAAACACAACGAGTAATAAGTTTATATGTAAATTTCATTTACTTACGATGATTATTAAAGCAATGCTAATTGATACAGTAGACCATTTAATTTGGTTACAAATCATATTGTGATAAGAGGTAGGAAAACAAGAACATACGGAAGGATCAAGTAAATCATTAATGCCAGGTGTCATTATAGTTTGTCTGCCAGCTGACAGACTTCCAACCAGAAAGAATGAAATAGTAGAAATAAAAGAGTGTAAGAACGTGTCTGGATAAGTTACTTCTTTTTCTGTTTGTTTCTTTCTTTGTATTGCCTTTCGATTTTATATGTAGAGATTCGAACTAAACGAAAGAGAAGATGAAGAAACGAAAGAAACGAACAAACAATTAGATCGATTGATGCCTGGTAGTAACAATATCAAAATAAGGAAAAAGAAAAGAAATTTGAATACAAAAAAATTTTCAATAAACATACTTGTCAAAATGAACTCTCTATATGATTTTTTTTTCTAATACAAAATTTTATAGTATAAACATTGGAAATGTTCATTATCGTGATATCACTAAAAAATCAATGATACCAAAATAATTACGATTGTGATTTCTAAATAGAAATATTGTTGCTGAATGTTCTTCAAAGATTCTTCTAAAATTCAAGACAAATCTATCAATGATGATCTATTCTGGAAAAAGTCTTTATATTTCTAATAGAACATACTTATAATTTATTAAGAAGTCATTTTTATTTAAAAAAAAAAAAAAGTTCATCTGGAAAAATAAATACTTAATCATTAACTAACAGTTTTATTTTATGAGATGATCTTGTTTAACATATATAAAAACTCATCATTCACAATTAGTATATGATCATGCGAATAAAAATTTTTACTTAATTATTCAAATAAACAATAATAATACATACATTTCCTCTTTGATTTGTAAGATTTTTTTTTCTTTATCTAATTGTTCATCATGAGAAGACTAAAGAAACAAGCGAAACATTTTTCATTCAGCAATTCATTTGTTACTAGAGTTTAATGATAGTAAAATAAAAAGAAAAACGAAAGATTGCAAACTTGTAGATATAAGAATATACGATGAACATATAGAAAAGTAGTTTAAACATCTAGAAAACAATATAAGATAAAACAACATGTTTCTGTGTATCGAAGTGACGAAAAAGTATACTTTTATATGTCTTATACTTCTTGGTATTATTGCAGACTTCGACATTTTTCTTCAAAATTCTTCTTAGTTTTTTTCATTGAATTTATTGATAAAAGATTTCTTTTTTTCAAAATAACTAAATTGATTTATTCGGAATACTTACAAATTCTATGACAGTTTAGTCAGATATTCTATTTAAATGAAATGAAGTCAAACTATTGTCTTCTTTAATTGATGAAATGAGATATTTATTATAAAATAATTATAAAAATATTTTTATGCTTCCATAGAATCATTTCAAATTATTTCAAGACTCTTTTTAGATTGCACTCAAATATGAAAAATGAATAAATAAATAAATAAATAATAAAATAAAATCTTTTTCTAAGAATATCCGAATAACTCATGTTTATCATAGTTATTTTACATTTACAAATGTTGCCTGTTTGATTGAGAACTTTCGATAGATTATTTTGCATAAAACAAGTTCATAAGCAATTTATGTGATTTTTTTTCCATTCATTAGAAAAAGAAAGAAGACTAGATTTTATTTGAAATTAGACATTTATTCTATTTTAAAATCTTAATGAGAGCTAACATTTTTATTTTTCACATAGAATAATTTTAGAACAAACTCAATAAAACCTATCAATAAGAATAGAATTTGATATAGAATCTTCGAAATTTTCTATTTTTATCTGATTATATGATTGTTTCTTCTTTGTTTTTTTCCTCTCATTTTTTTATGTTTTTTCTTTCTTTCTCTCTGTCGTTTATAAAGTTCTATTTGGTATCAAAATATTTTTTCATATTAGATATGAATTAGTTAAAAAAGAATGAAAACTGAAATGAGTTATAATCACGTCTGAAATATTTTATTTGATTTAATCAGTGAACCGTTTTGTACTTGATGACCATTCTTGTATTTAGATCGAAGAAAAAATATCAAGCGAAAACGAAACAAAAATGACTCGTGGTTCGTCGAACAACGACTTGGATAAAGTAGTTTTAACTGATTCAACAAGTGATCAATTAACCAGCGACTTTCGATCAACAGACGTAAAGTCTGCATATCCTGGACAAGTATTATCCGAGGTCAAAGATTCTAGCGCAACTAGTGGAGATTCTGATACTCAAGATCAAACAGGAACAAATACCAATAAGACTACACCCCTACAGGGACAAGTTGGTGAAGGAATGCCTGATCATTACAAAAAATAGTTATCGCATCATTTATTTTATTTTCATAATAAACTAGCATGACAAAAAGTCGTAGAATATGTTAAAGAAATTTTGAATTAATCTTATTAAAACTCATTTTGTGATATACTTTATTGATGGAGATAATAAACGAAGATTATTTTACTAAATTTTAGTGCAAACAAAATATTCATCAGATTTTGAGAAGCGTTTTTCAAGTCGAAATGAATTATTCAGAAGGAAATAATCTAACATCTTCAGTGAACATCATCACTTTTTTTGTCATTAACCATGTCATATGAAGATGAAATACTTGTTTTCTTACCATTTGTTTCTTTATATCATGAGAAAAATCATTTCAGACGAAATCTTAATATGTGAAATATGAAAAATTTCAAAAATAAATTGATTATTCAATGAATATAGTCGACTTTTGTACGCATTCATCTCATTTATGCTATTGACCTCAATGGCATCTTTTCCTTTCCTTTTTTACAATGTATACAAAAAAGAAAAACTAACAGCAGTTGTGCGTCGTTCTCATCTTTACTCTAAAAAACAAGAGAATCCATAGAGTGATTCCATATAAATTTTAGTCGAGAGCAATTATTTTTGTTTTGATAAGTTTGTTCAATATTATTGATATTTCCTTTCCTGTTATTGTTATGATAGATAGTGATGTTTGATGACAAAAACAAAGTGTAATTTGAAGACATCTACGTTATGAAATTCTATTGTTACTTACGATTTATTGACATTGAGTTGTATGTCAATTGTATTTTCAACAAAGAATCTTTTTACAGGAAATTATATACTTTAGTTTCAATAGAAATCAAATGAACAGTTTATTTTCATTAATATTTGACTGAAGAGTTTTTATTATTTTCAATTCTTCTGTAGCATGAAAAAGAAATGATTTTTTGTTTGTTTGTACTATGATGACAACTTGTTCTTCGCTAAGATAGAAGATTCGTATTTAGCTAAACTGTATATTGCATTACTATCAATTAGCTGAAACGATTTTCATATTTATTTAACAACACTACATCCATGACAATACATTATATTTTTTGGCAAACGATAATACATCATCAGACGAATAATATTGAACATATACAATCTAGTTAATCGACTAAATCGTATAAAACAAAAATGGTGAAGTTTCCTACTTTTGTTTCTAACCTAATATTTTATATGAGAATCTTTTCAATGAACGAATTCCTGAAATATGAGTTTTCAGACAAAATTCGTATAACAAGATAGAAAAAAAACCATTTCATATATGAAATGTGAGTGCCTTGTAATATCTTTTATTCTATACATACGGCATTATGTGTTCTTGAGTCAACAAAATATTTGGAATAATTGAACTTGGTAGAATAGCCACATATACAATTTTATACAGAAAAAGTGGATGAAGGGTGAGAGTGAAGAATGAAGGGGATGAAGAGAAGACTATTATCCTCACATTTATTCTTATGTACACAAGATTAAAATACATAGGATTTAATCAAGCAGCAAAATGCCTCTCAAATCGACCATCAACAGAAGACAGAAGAATATTCCGAGAACTTATAACAAACTAAGATGTATGAAGAGGTATAGAACTCTCTTAAAGATGGTTTTGTGAAAATGGTTTCTTTATTTGCACACTTCTGTTCCATTTGTTTCTTCTGACGGAACATAAAAACAATTATCATTAGTCTTTGAATGACTAACAGCCTTTCTCTCAGTCACGAATGAAATATTTCTCGATGCATACGTCGAACAATATCTAGTAAAAAGCTTAAACTGTATTAAAAGAGTAGATCTGGACTTGCTTCTGTTTTACAACGACATGTTTCATTGGGATTTATTCCATCAGAAAAGAACAATCACTTTAGTCACTCTTCCTATATGAAGCAGTTCAATACAGGGCATCGATCTTTTCTTCAGTCCTTTTATCTTTAACTACAGTGCTGAATGATAGATTGTACCTTCGTGCTTACTCTAAATGAGGAATCAAGAAAATATTTATGATTTTTGTGTTCAAGTACTTGCGAGTGTAACAAAAAAATGAAAACATGAAGAAAAGGCTGGTTAAGAATTAAAGTTAATTCGCACGAATAAACACAACTACAGGCTGACATTGCATTGGGAAACAGAACTGGTCGTACATTGGTATGATTGAGAATTGGAAAGGAAAGTTCAATCGAGAGTTCAGGAAATAATGTGTATCAGTAAGCAGAAATCGTCATGAAACCATTGTTCTTGTTATGAATATCCTCGCATCAGTCAGTTTCTGCGCACACATTTTTTCGACTGTTGTATAGAGAAGTACCTCTGACTTGAATATGTACTATAAACAATGAACTATTATCTGCTTTTGTGTGCTTTATTTCCATATTGTGTGCCATTCTCAATTTATTAAACATAAAAAAAGATATGATGTATTCAGTATGAAGTTCATCTTCATAGAAAGAAAGACACTCTTTTTTAGGTTCTCTAACTTAATCTTTTAATGTATTCTCACACCTTGCCGCATTAATTCATTTTGTACTAATTCAATATTTACTTGACTTGTTGTAACACCTTGTTTTAACGATATTGCTGCAGCGGCACCCGCTCCTTGTCCTGTGACTGTACAAGCAGCCATATTCCTCATTGCTGCATGAGATATTTTATCACCAGCAACACATCTTCCAGCGACTAAAAGATTATCGATTTCTAATGGTAATAAACATCTATATGGTACTTCAAAATAACGTCCAGTCGTAGGAAGAATAATAATATTATAGCCATCAATAAATTCTGGAAAAATGCCAACACTATCATAAAATCTTGCTTGATTTTTGACATCATTTCCTGTTAAATTATAACGACCAATAATTTTTCGTGAATCACGACACCCAAGTGTCATACCAAAATTTCTTAATTTTGCCTTTTCAAAACCGGGAACAACATGTTTTAAAGCCATGATTGCATGCAAAGTTTCTTTTCTTCCTTCAATTTCAGCTTTTGTTAAATCAATGACATTTGTACAATCATAATTCGTCATATAAACTAAATTGAGATTTGTCGCTTCACCAGCATCTGTTAATGATGACCATGATCCACCAATATTGGATGTTTTTGGAATAATGCCAAGTTCTTTCGCTTTTCGAAATTCTTTATCTAAATATGGAGTTCGTAATTGATCTTCTTTTCCAGATGTTTCTTGTGTCCAAAATCCACCCCAATCAGCATAAGTAGCTGGATTATGTTCAGTATATTTTAGAAATCGTTCTTTATCAATATTTGAACAGGAAAATATTGTACTAACTCCTAACATTTCATCTTTAGGAGTTTTATGATAACTACATCCAGCTAAATATGCAATATCAGCATCTCCAGTACAATCGATAACTCTTTGTGCTCGTATTCCTAACCGACCTGATTTACTTTCTGTAATGATTCCAACAATTCGATTATTGTCTAACATTACTTCCACTGCTAAACAATGTAAAATAGGCCGTACTCCAGCTTCAGTTAGAAGATGATCTGCAACAATTTTGAAATAATCAGCATCTAAACATTGACTATCATTGTAAGGCCATTTAATCGTTCCTCCCATTTTCATAGCGATTCTTTCCATTTCAATTCCAATTCCTCCTTGAGATTCAACTGTACCTTCATATCTATACCATCCGATTGTTTCCATACCGACTGTTGTAATAACTCCTCCAAAACAACCAAATTTTTCTAACAGAATAGTATCAGCTCCAGCTCGTTTTGCTGCTAAAGCAGCTGATATTCCCGATGGTCCACCACCCACAACAAGTACTTCACATTCAGCAAATATTGGAATTGATTTAGATGTTTCATTATAAAATGATGAATAATCATAAGTAACAGAATTTCTATTGAGAATCATTTCATTTGCTGGATTTTTTCGATTAATGTGTTGTGGTTTTCCACTCCATCGATCAATCATGCGTTGTGCTCGTTCTACATATTTGTCTTCTACTTTTACAATCACTTCTTCTTTTTTCTTGTTATTCTCCTGATGATTAATACGTACAAATTTTAATAATAATAATAAAGAAACAATAATAATACATGTGATGAAAATAAGAGTTGTACAATTTATCTGAATAAGAATATCATCATTTTGCTTAATTATTGAACTGGTTTGGAAGAAATAATAACATCCAAATGATAATAATAAAATTCCAACAGTTGCTTTATATTTTTCCATGTACTCTTAGAAATTTTTCAAGGTGAAATTTTTGCTCGATTCAACAATATTTTTATTAAATCAATGACGTTATCTTGCAAAAAAAGGCAACACAATGAAGCAAACGAGTGATTATTTGTAAATAATAGCCGCTCACATTTTTCATCCAGAGATAACAACAAACGCAGATAAAAAATATAAAAAATAAATATTACTCATAAGAATTTGGCCACAACACGAGAAGAAAAGTACATAGAAGCTTCTGTCGAAACAATCTCGACTAAATTTATCATTTTTTCACCTACGATTGAGCTGTTCTCGTTCCAAAGAAAAGTACAATGATGTGTATGATTATGTTTCTATCAAAAAGCATTACCAATCAAGAAAAGATCTTTATGTTACCTTGTATCTTACAGAATGCTATGTCTATTAAGAATCCGACAAAATTCATTCTTTGTAACAGGAACTTTCTCATTAATTTTGTATTGAATACATTAAAGACGAAACTATTTAGTGTATACATAGTTGCTGAAGTTTTTCTCGGAAATTTCCTTCTCATATTTTGTTATTTTCTGAAGCCTCCAATAAAATTCTATATTTCGATTTTGAGTTATTTCGAATGCTGTGACGGAAATGTTGATACTTCGGAAATTTTCAAGTAATTCATTTTTTGCGTGGATGTTGACTACCATTTCAGCTACAATCACGCCCACATTCTCAGTGATTGCGAAATTAATGAACGTTATAACTTGCAATATTCCGAGACGATCTGGGTGTGGATACAAAACAAGACAAGACACCACCATACATCTACACCTACACCCAC